GCTTTCTCAGATCACTTAGCTTAGCCTCAAGATTGCAATTACACAGTTTACAAAATGCCATTTTATTGTTTGTGCTTGATCTGGAAAGCCATCCACTAAGTTCAGGGATCTTTTCCCACTCAGAACGATATGATTGCTTGTAACGGCGCTTTTGAGGAGGTCTACAAGAATCTCTGGTAGCAGAGGAACTTTCTTCTGAATCATCTTCTGAATAATCTGAGACAATAGTGCTAGTAGAGCGAATACTCCTGCTTCTTTTAGCCATTGTTATCATGTAGCCACACCTAATTATTAACAATTAACACCTATCTATTGCGCATGCACCATGCTTTAATAGAATAACATTGCAAAATCGCTAAATTTTGAGTTGAAATCAAAAGTCACCAAAAACTTTGCAGTGATCTCTGAGTCACTAAATCAAAGTCAAATTCACTAAATTAGCGGGAAATCGCTAAAGGTGGCAGCACTGATCTTTGATTACCTGGTAAATTTCTTTTTGGATATGGACGTAGCATATTATTTCATAAAGGAAAAGCCTCATCACCCACAACAACATATGGTAAACTTGGATGAGTTGTACCAGGTAAAGGACAGTTATCTGGAATTGACAAAATTTCAGACTCAAGTGCTCTTACAAATTGTGAATTAGATAAAGTTCCACCATCACTTTGACGCCCAGCTCCACCAATATCAAACAAAATAAATCTAGAAAGTGGAAGCAAAATTAAACACCTGAGATTTGTATAACAAACTTGTATTGTGCATCACACACTGCTAAAAGGACAATTGAATGACTTCCTTTGTAGTTAAAATAAACTGAACCTGAATTAATTGGAGCCTGAATAATAACATGTTTCCCATCAATAGCCCCTATGGCATGTCAAGTCATAACCATAGCTACAGCACACACAGTAACATACCTATAGACCAGTTGGCGCTAAGTATATTCATGACTAGACCGTATTGTTCTAATGCGAAAAAAATTTCATAATAATTTCAATCAGCCATTTTGGAGCCCTAAATCCAGTGGCCATACTGTGTAAAAGTGTATGAAATTTGTTGTTATGCCTTATTGCTGTGCTGTAAACTGCAACAATCGCTCTAAGAAGGGACTGGGAATATCTTTCTTTTGTTTTCCCACTGATCCTGCCAAAAGAGAGAGATGGATAGCTGCTATCAAGAGAGATAATTGGTCACCTTCAGAGTATTCTCGAGTCTGCAGTAGGCACTTTGTAACTGGTAAGAAGCTAATATTTGATGATAGAGCTGTAATAAAGGACATTAATATAGGTAAACATTCTGATGATCCCAGGCATGTGGATTATGCCCCATCAATATTTCATTACAATGCAAGGGCTGACACAGAGGATCATGGTGCCGCTAGCATGGAAAGGTACCACAGAGCAGTTAAAAGGGCAAGAAATGTAGCTGTGCCTATGACTAATGGGCAATGTAGTGATCGGGTCACTCGAAATGCTGCCACCAATCAGTCTCAACAATCTGACACAGTTGTAAATGACGTTTGTGATTTTCCCATTTGCGATATTGATTTTGGTGAAATATCATCTGAGGAGGACAATATTGCAGCTGGAGTTGAGACTAATAGAGATTCAGGAAGTGAATTAGGTGATATCCCTGATGAAGATAAATCAACTCTATCTGAGTCTGAGGATGATTTTGAGGAGCATGAGTGGTTCGATGATTCGTTTAATGACGAGGATTCTAATGATGAGAAGCTTGATAATGATTCATCTGATAACGATGAACAATTACCGGTAGCAGAGATAGAACAAAATCAAGATAATCACATTGTTTTCTTAGAAAAAGATCTTGCTGAATCTGAATACGAGATTTGTTCATTGCAACTGGATAACGAGTTATCAACACAAAGCAACGAAGAAATTCAAACACATTGTAGCAGTCTCTCAGCGCTAGTTCAGTCTCAAGCTCAGCAAATACTGCAATTAAAGACAATGTATTTAAGATCTGTAAGGGAATCAATTGCTTTACGGGGTAATAAATTTGATGCTAGTATTTTAATTAATGATGATGAGAAAGCTGTTTTACACAGGCTTAAAATTTGATGTGTTCAACAAGATATGTGAGCTACTAAGGTCATCAGCTGAAAGACCTATTCTATCATCATGCTCTCTGGAAGATTAATTATTTTATACTCTGGTGAAATTGCGACTAGGTCTTCTGAATAAGGATTTAGCATACAGAGCAAAGATTAATATGGGTGCTATGTCTAATGTATTTCATCACTGGATTACCATACTCTACAGAGATCTTAGGCAGCTCATTATTTGGCCTGAGGTATCTGCTCTTCAAGAGAACTTACCGAAGTGCTTTAAAGGACGTTTTAGCCGTGTAGTATGCATCATCAACTGTTTTGAAGTCTTTATACAGAGGCCTAAATCTTTTGACGCAAGAGCTGCAACCTACAGCAACTATAAAAAGCATAACACCATCAAGGTATTAATAGGTACATCACCCACTGGCTCTATTACTTTTATCAGCAAAGCATGGGGCGGGAGAACTTCTGATAAATTAATTACACAGAAGTCTGGATTTTTAGACTTTGTTTGTTATGGAGATGTAATCATGGCTGATAGAGGGTTCAATGTTTCAGATGAACTAGCTCTAAGAGGGGCACATCTAGAGATACCTGCTTTCACCAAAGGGAAAAAGCAACTCTCTGGAATGCAAGTTGAAAAATCAAGACAATTGGCCCGAGTAAGAATTCATGTAGAGAGGGTTATAGGACAATTGAAAAAGAAATTTAAAATTCTCCAACATACTCTTCCGATTACTCTCATCAAACGTCCTAAGGACAAAGACATAACAACCATAGACAAAATAATAACTGTTACCGCAGCATTGGTTAATTTAACTCAATCTGTTGTTTAATTTTTGATTTGTTGAAAAAAATTGAAACGTTTCTAAATTATAATTATAGATTATTTTTTAGTCCTACATTGTGGGCAGAACCATTCTCCTTTGGGCTTTCTTTTGATTGAGACACATTCATAGTGAAACCATTCAATATCACAATCCTCATTGTCACAGGCTACCATTCTCCCTGGTTTCTCTTGCTTACAAAAACAATAAATTTTGTCTTCATCAGTAATGGTTTTATGTATCACCTTCTGTTCTTTGAAGTGGTGGGTCATCAGCTCTGGCAGTAAGTACTCACAAAAGAATGACTGAGATTTGTTTAAAATCTTATCACAATAGCTCTGATCCCGATAAATACTCTCAACAAACATGCCATCAGATGTCCAACAAACAAAATCGCATGTATCTATATCAGCCACAAGTAGCTGACACTGAATTTGTGTGTAATATTTGTGATTCCTTGACAGCATTACTTGATGATCGACCCCTTTAGTGAGACAGTAGGTGCGATTGGTCAAAGCCTCGTCACTGACTGGTGAAATATCCCTTATCATGTACGGACACTTGATTTCCAATAATTTGGTTCCGCAACAATCGCAAGATGAAATGCCATCCGGACTGGCAGCAATCCAAGGATACAATGGGTTTATTATGAGTCCAGATAAACGGGTCTCAAAACTAGTGTGCTTTTCCTTTTGCTGCGTAGAGTAGTGCTCTCTAGCAGTGGTCTCATTCTCTCTCCCCCATTTCAGTGCAGGAAGATCTGGGCTTGGCGAAGTGTACTGCATTATATTATTCACTATCGACTTCGGGAACTTCTTTCCTGTATATTTCAGTACGGAGTGCATGTTTGAAAAAGTAATTCTTCCTATCCTGTGTTTTAAACCACAGCTCCGATTGTGATTGTTGGACTGTAAGAGTAGCTAAATTGTCAGCTTGATGTTGAGTCACACTAATGTTATTAAATGTATCACTACATGCTTTCTTGGTTTCTTCAATAGTCCAATTTAAAGGGTAAGTCCGGTGTATTTTTGGTGAATTTTTTTTATTGGCTTAATATGATTGCCTGACCATAATAATGATGTATTCCAACTCCCATTGTCTAAAAAAAGTTTTTCACTGAGATATGAGCCTTCAAAGATGCTCATTTTTATTACTTCCTGTCGGTGGGTGTGGCTAAACCTGACG